AAAATAATTTGTATTACACAAATAGCAATGGTTTATGTTACACTGTGATTTAGCAAACTAAATGTGATTCAGCTAGGGCTCACATCTACTAGATGGGAGTAGTAAATATCATGAAGTTAGTAATTCTATACATCCCTCATATTTTGTGCTTAGCAGTGTTAGTACTGTATTTGTATTTTTAAAGAGAAGCATGGAAATATTTATTGTATAGTTTATTGCGAACCCAGTAATATAAATCTTCAAGGAAGCTAAAATCAATATATACCAGTAAGTCATTCCATTTCAGTATGGGGATACAAGGACACTGGTATTCATAAAGAGGGATTTATCTACTAGCCACATGGAGCAGATTATCGCCAATGTTTTTTCTTTTAATATGTCAGTATTTATAGAATGCACTTCAAACTGGGAAACTGCCATTAAGTTCCTGGATCAAGAACTAGAAAAACAGCAATATGTTTCATTTCTTCCACCAAAATTCTATTAATGTTGGCAAAGAAACAGTTATTGTTTTGTGTCAAATGTAAGTAAAAAAGAAAAAAAATATTTTTATATTCTTTTATTGCTATGCATACAAATTATTTGTTTTACAAATAAACATTAATACAAGCTAATGAATGTTAGCTAAGAGACAGAACAGCAGTAGTTGCTTGTCTTTTATCTCACAGGGTTTGATAAAAACCCCTAGATGGAGCCATCCAGTGTAAGGGAAGAATCACTAAAATGACCCATTCAGCCATGTGTATTCATTGCAGTTTGACTGAAACTTCACTTCACTAAGCTGTTCATCAAGGGATGAGTTATCATTGATGAGTCATCGATATATGTATGTAAAATTATGCTTGATCTATTGAGGTCTGTGTACAGAAAAAGTAAACTAAGAACTAGAAACTGTGCAAAGAAGCCTTGTTCTGCACCTGTTGGATCAAAAGTTTCAAAATAATACAAAATATGAATATGAAATAGTTCAAATTCATGATAAAACATATTATTTTGTAGTTCTAACAATAATTAAAGACATTTTGTAAAACGAACACCATGCATTTGTTTTAAAAGTCTCAATAGAATTTCCTACAGCATGGCAATGTTCTATTTCCTTTAGATGTACCAATGAAGATGAATGAGAACACTACCTATAAAAATATGATCAAAACCAATCAAGAGCTTGGATATATAGTTTGATTTTTCTAGACAGAAATAAACAAATGTAAATATCCTCTCTCTCACTCTCAAGGATCTGTTTGCTGGACAATTGACAAACCCTGCTAACCCAGAACATAGTAGCCGAGCTTCAAGTCAATTTGTGAGCTTTTAGTAAAAAGGGCATGGGTACTGTACCTGGGCGCTACAATAATGAATATGTACCAGTGTGAAAAAAAATGTTTACATTCTGTTCAGCAGGAAATTAGTCTTTATTACAGCTTAAATGGCAACATTAAAAATACATAATTAATTCAAATAACATGCTTTAGGGATGTGCACGTGAATCGGTGCACATGTAGGCCATATTCCAACTAAAGTGACAATTACGAAAAAAAAAATATTGCCATTATATGACTGTTTGGATCCCTTGCCTGCTTCAGTTTGTAAACAAAGTGGCTGGAGGATCCTAGTTGGCATCATTGGCCATGTTTGGTCAATATGGTCAGCCAACATCCACAACTGGTTTGTTGTAATTCAGCTGTCAGCTGGGATGCTGTTCTTTGCGGTGAGAGTCCAGTGGAAGAGGATGGTGAGCACAATACATCATGTTCATGGAAGAAGAGCATTGGTAATCAAGTTTTATGATGGAGCTATGCCACTAGATTACTTTATTGTCTTTTTTATTATGGGGCTTTTATTTTTGAAATACCATTCACATGGTATCTGTGTGCTTATATACTTTCTATTTTTTTTTCTTTTTTGGTAAATAAGTGATAAGGGGTATTACTTTCCCATTACTTCACATTCGGGGCAAGATATGGGCCAGATATCTGGGGAATCCCCTAGTATTTTTATAATCTTTCTTCCTTGTTTTCCATTTCATATATGCAAAAACATAAAAATATAAAAACACAAACAAAAAACTAAACCCCTATACAGGACAATGACTATTTTCCAACTCAATACAGCCCTACACCACTCCTTCCATCTCGACTTATATTGAATATTTACCACATAATCAGCTGACTACATGAGCAAGTAGATAAAAGGAGAGGTAAAAAAGTGTGTGTGTGTGTGTGTGTGTGTGTGGGGGGGGGGGGGGTTGGGTAGGAGAGAGAGCTCAGAGAACCTTTTCCATATTCTAAGAAATAAGTCCTGGTATGCCTTGAATTGAAATATATTCCTGCATCTATTAAAACAAGCCATCCTTTGTTTAGTGCCATTCTCCTCTTAGAGAGACAAAATTCTTCAGAATCTTACAGTTTGATAAAACCTCTCATATTTACCCTGGAAAGTATGTACCCATTTTTAATCCAGTACTCAACAGATGGCTTTGTGTATTTTCCCAATAAAGGGGAGGCTTCCATATTACAAAAACAACAACCCCCACATACCTCTACATTCACCAAGCCAGGGGACCAAAGTTGGGTGCAAATGGCCTGGTGTGTCTGCATAAAGATCAAGGCTGCATGTCAGCATAGGGATTTTGGGGGGACATTGTGCCACTTTTTTGTGTGGATCCCCCTTACAAATGCATGCAGGGGATGTGGCCTGGCATGGTTCAGAGGTAGCAGGGTATACACCTTCTGCCCCCCCCCCCCCTTTCTTGGCCAGCAAGGCTGTATGTCCAGATAAGTATCTGATATAGATTTTTGGGGGAATAGTATTCTTTTTTTTTTTTTGCATGGGTTGTCCTTAGAAACTGATGTAATCTGGGTGGCCAGAAAAAGAAGGGGCAGTGAGCATGCTCCCCCACTTCTGAAACATACCTGGCCACATGTACTGCTCTAGAAAAAAACAGAATGGCATACCTCCAGACCATTAACCTAGATAGGGTTCTGGTATGGATTTTGAAGAGGACCAGAACAAGAAGTGGTGTCTTCCTTAAAATCTAGACTATTTATTCTAGATAGGGATCTGGTATGGATTTTAAGTGAAAGTAAAATTACAAAAAAAAAAGTATAAAGACTGATTCCCTCAAAATTCATAAAGTTTAGCAGGTCAGAAAAGGAAAGAGCAACAACTGTTTGTACCCCCTAAACCATACCAGGCCATATTCACTCATTATGGGGGATACCTTGCCAGGGAGGGGGAAACATTATGACCTAAATACAGATTAGGTAAATTAATGTGCAGTGTTAGCTGATATAAATGCTCCAAACATAAAATAAGACATTTATTTGTTATACTTTTTGTTTAGACTCTAAACTGTTTTCATTGTTCTAAGTCTTGTTTTACCAGCAAACCACTCCACACAAAAAGGCCCCTAATAGATGCATGGGAAATGTAAAATACCCATGTTGAACAAATCTATCTTCATTATATCTAACTCAGCTGTATTGACAATTCCAATTATTCCGCTTTCTGAAGTCTTTTCTGAAGCAAAGTCTATTTTTTTCTAATAATGGGACCTAAGTAAAGTTTGAACTGTGTAATGGTAAAGGCAAAGGAATACAATGATTCTTTCATTACTTTAGTGCAATGTACAGAGACCTTTCAAATGTAAGAACATGGAAATTTTCTGTTCTTGAAGTCCTGCATAACAGTAAGAAGCCTTATTTTATAAAGTACTGCAAAAAAAAAAAGCAACCTTAAACTGCAAAAATGTAGGAAAATGAATACTGATTAGTTGCTATGGGTTATTGTATTTTGCCCTATTGAAGCCCAGGACCTGTAAATGTGTATTCTACAGCCTTTTTCAACAAAGCTATCTGTATTTAAAGTATTATTTCTTTGGTTCAGGTACTCATAGCAACCATATAGTATTTATTATGCTGAGTCAGAACACTGCAGGATAAATCTTTTCTGAATGCCAGGATTTCTTGCTTAAAAGGTTGCTGCACCCAGAGGTGAAATCTTATTTTTTTATTAGAATATAGATCAAATAGCTTATGTAACAGTGTCTCTAAGGCCCCATGTACACGGGACACTTCTGAACGATGGAAACTGACTGCTGGAAAACGTAGGTTAAAAAAGTCTGTTTAGCCGCGGTTGCATAATGCGTTTAGGCACGTTTATGCGCGTTTATGTGTGTTTGCGCTTAGAAGCCTTTTTTTAAAGATAAGCACAGGAGAACCTCCGAAATGCCCAGAATGCACTGAAAAGTGGAAAATTATTAACTATTTCAGACTGTTTCAGGGAAATACAGAGAGTAGAAGCAGAGAGAGCAATATGTGTTGAAATTAGCTTAGGTGTGAATTGCTCATTAGCATTTCTTTTGTTTCCAATGGTGGGAAAGGTGCAGTGGAGTGAGTCATTAAGGCCACCTGGCAGGGGGTCTTCATGAGGAATTTGAGGTGTGAATGGTCATTAACATATCTTTTGTTTCCAAGGGTGGGAGAGGTCTGAGGTGTGAATGCATCATTGCAATGTGTGACAAGCTGTAATCACTCCACATCGACCACCTGACCGCTTTCCCAAATTTGCCATTGTGAGAGTATACTGTGCTGATTACCACATGTGCCATGTGTTTTTTTTCTGTCCTGTGAGTTTTATTTTCACCTTAATTTTAAATAAAGCAAATAGTTTATACTGTGAAGCCCCCTTTTTTGTGATTTACTATACATGTTTGATACATGCTGAGAACTGGAGAGCTGGATATGATATCTGCATGCCGACCAGTTGGCTGCACTAAAAAGTGCTTATTGACCTCCTTTTCATTAATGAGGTCTTTGTTACCAGGTGAGGAGACATCTTCACTGTGAGTGGTGGTGGCCACTGTTGTCCTGGGTGTTTTGCACACGTTAGTATACACTGAAGAATTGCTGAAGTTCACATATAATTGCCAGATCAAGATTGCTTAAAGATTTAAATTGGACTGTATATGGGACTTTTCACTGAGTCACTTCCTATATCACATGTGCAGGGGCAGACTGACAACTCATGGGGCCCCCGGGCAATAGGGGATCATGGGGCCCCTGTGTCCTTGCCCAAGCTCAAAAAAGCCTATGAAAAAGTTACCAGGGGTATCTGGGGCCCCCTACTGACCCCGGGCCCTGGGGCAGTGCCCGGGTTTCCAAATGGTCAGTCCAACCCTGCACATGTGTGACATTTGGGGCTTTATTTTCATTCACATTATTGTATTAATCTGCTGTTTCATATTTACTTTCATGTTTGTAGCGTGGTGATATTTGCCAGATCATGGTTGCTTAAACATTTAAATTGGACTGTGTATGGGATTTCTATCTAATCACTTCATATTTCATGTGTGGCATTTGAGACTTCATTTAGGACTTATTTTTATTTTTGTATTTTGTTGTCTCATATCTATTTTTATGTTTGTAGTATGGAGCGCTTCACTTTTATCTGATTGATTGTATTTTTGTGTGTATACTGATTGCATGTACAGGTGGCAGCAGCTTTACTTATTACTCTATGTATGGTGTGATATATTTTCTGTTTGTTCTGATATTTAATAGTTCTGGGATTTTTTATTATTTATTTTTATATCCCAATTTCCTATTGGGAGATTTCCTTTCACTTCCTGTCCTATAACCAAAAGAGGGAGAGAGAGGAAATACCTCAATGGTGCCTCCAGGGTCACCAGAACTTGTGTCCCCATTGGAAAATGTCCCCTTCAATGAGGACAACCCTGTTCTGGTGACAGTCCAAAATATGGGATTTTCTTTCACTTTCAACTTCAATGATAATGGCAAACAGGATAAATAGAGAGCGTGAATCTCCAAAACAGAGAAGTAGACAGCAATAAACCCTGACAGGTATTTTAATCCCTCTCCACTCTATCCAAAATTAGAAGAAAACATTTTGCCTTTAGTTATACTTTAAAGTGGTTCTAAAGTCAAATTTTTTTTTACCTTCATGCATTCTATGTATAAAAGTGAAAAAACTTTCTGTGGGTATCAGCACGTGCAGCCCCCCCAGTGCTTACCTGAGCCACCTCTTGATCCAGCAATGACCACAATAGTCTCAGGTCTCCGGAGACTCTCATTCCTGGTTGGCTGAGGCAGGAGCCATTGGCTTCTGCTGCTGTCAATCACAGCCAGTGAGCCAATCAAGTTGGTGGGCAGGGTCAAGCCTGTGTGTGAATGATCACGCAGAGCCATGGCTCAGGTGTGCGCCTGCTCAGGTGCCCCCATAGCAAGCTGCTTGTTATGGGGGCACCTGACAAAAGGGAGAGTCCAGGAACACAAACAGAGGACACGAGAAGAGGAGGATTTGGGCTGCTCTGTGCAAAACCACTGCAAAGAGCAGGTAAGTATGTCATGATTGTTATTTTTAAGATAAAAAAGACTTTAGTATCACTTTAAACATTACATGTATAAACTAAAAAAAAAAAAAAACCTAATTAGAACCTTCACCAAACCATTATAGTTTCCACAATATAGTAGCTGTTTTATTTTGCAGACTAGAGTCACAGTCACAGTAAAATTGAACGTTGGTCCTCCTATGGAACCATTGTATTTTATGGCTGTGTAACAATACCAGCTTTTATAAAAAAAAAATTTTCACAGCTAACATTTTAAATTGGGCCTAAACTCAACTGTGAAACATCTAGAAATGATAACTGTATAGTAATCTTGAAAAATCTGCTGTTTGTGCCTTGAATTCCTTTTAACAAAATAGCTGGTATGTGAATGTACCAAGGCACACACATTACAGCTTCACAACTGTATGTCTACAGTGTGAGAGATATTTTCCCCTATTGGTGTCAAAAGATTTGAAGAGAGATTTCATCATGCCACTACTGTGCTTCTTGCTGAAGAGAAATTTGCACTGCATGTATCTCTGTGCTTTTGCCTAAAGCTGGCCATACATAGATCAAAATGTATCTAGTTCAGCAGGAACCGGCCTAATTCCAATTCATGTACGGCCATTCCTGTTCGAGAGGAGTTAATCAAATGATCGACCACTCCTGAACAGGACTGTTGGTACATTTTTGCTCTATCAGCACTTGCATCCAATCAGATGCAGTTATAATCAGTGTATTCTGGCAGTGGAGAGTCCCACTACAAGAATACAATAAAACAGCAGGGGGATTCTCCCATCAACCTCAATTGTGTGGATGGAGGAAGTGGTTCGGTTGGAGTTGTGTTGATGGGGGAATTGGTTCAGATCCACCTATGTTCAGTTTATTCATTCTGTTCATGACCTGTGCTTTGTAAACCTCTACTGTTGTTTCTTGATCATTATCCCTCCAGATATCAGTACCTATCCAGTTGCTTCTTGATCATTATCCCTCCGGTCATCTGGTGACTGCTGTGATATGAGATTCTTCACAGGAAATAAAAATATAAGTCCTAAGTTATTTATTAAATGAATAACCCTATATAAATATTAATAAAATACTAAACAACTTAAAACCAACAATAATGAGCCTAGTTTTAGCAGCTTAGACCTACCAAAATAACGGATATCATAAACCAAGTCCATTCAGCCAATAAATAAATGACCATCTTTGTATAAAACCACATTGTATAAAAATCAGGGAAAATAGAGTGGGAGGGAGGAACATTGGGCAATGCTCTGATTCCAACAGATGACAGAGATCCAATAGCAGGCTATTTAGTGGGGAATCTATGTGTTTTTACTGCAGAGTTAAATGTAAGACTGTAATTGATCAGTAATCACAAAAAATAAAGGGGTATGGCTGTGGGTACTAAATTGCAGTAGCACTAATCACTAATATTTGGATTTGCAATACATTATCAAGTTAGCTCCCTTCTATCTAGATATATCCAACCTGAGACATCAGTTCTCCATTTTTTAAACAAAAGTATTAAAATATTATTATACAAAGATCAACACATACACCTAAAACCACCTAAAACGTATCTGTGAATATATTGCACAGTTGGTATTATATTATTTTCCCCCAGTGGTCTAATCCTTACCCATATATTCATTCTTTCTCTTGGCCCACCATGTTGCCCTTTTCCACTTTATAGAAGGTGACTATCCATATACCGTATACATTAAATTACACTGGTGCCCCTGTATTTGTGATGTCTACATGAGTGTGCATGATTGAGTGTACTGTCTAAGGGCAAACAAAAAGCATGAGAAGATTGTGGTGAACCAGGTTAAGATACCAATACAACCAGAGTGGAAAAGATCATCATTTACCTTATTCACCTCTCTGCTGGCAGGCTGTATAAATATAATGTTGTGTTGCCTAGTTCTTATGATACTGCAAATAGCTTGCCTGTGGATGCATCAATATATAAGACATTGGATTTTCAGGAGGAAAAGGTTTTCCAGAGACATCTCTATACTACACCATTCCAGGTAAATGAAACCCGTTCAGCAAATCAAATGCCACAACCTGCTAACAATTGTTGGTGAGGTGTATATAAGGTGAGACAAAGCTCAGTCAGTACATTGGATTTTCAGAAGGAAAAGGTTTTCCAGAGACATCTCTATACTACACCATTCCAGGTATCTAGATGGAGTACACTGTGGGAAGACATCCGGATTGCTAGTGTGGATGGACCTAGGTGGTGTGATGAAGTCATGGTAATCCTTGTGGATATCTGCAGGAGGGCTTATTCCAACGTGTAACTCTTGGATTAACATTAAGGTGAGATTTATTGGTGATATTGGTAAGGGTACTCACTCCTTACTTTAAATAGAAGTGCACACTGGGTTGTGTGATTTGTGGCACTGAAAAGTGATTCACATACACGTTTTTCACCGTATTTTTTTTTTTTCTCTCACTTGTGTGATTATCACCAGAGTGACCTCACATGTTATTATGATTTGCTAAAGGATAATGCACTATGTATTGTTTTTATTTTTATTTTTGAGGTAATCCAGCCTGTGCAAGTCGTTGGGAGACTCTATACACTTGGACTTAATTTTGGATGCACTAATTTATTTCGCAAAAAGGACATTTGATTTATTTTGTGTGGTATATATTATTATCATCTTGGGATTTTAATTTTTCTTTTTGGACTTTAATTGGAATTTATTATGTTTGTGATCTAGGGTAGGGGAATTGTATATTTTATATTTATTATTGATTGATGGATTTATTTGATTATTTATTTGGCATATTTACTTTAATATTGTTTGCATCTCCAAGGGTAGAGGTGTAGATTATGCTTTAAGGGGATTGAGTATTGAATATTTAGGTATTGGTAGTGATTTATTTATTATATCCTTTACTTACTATGAAGAATTTTAACACTCCTACGCTCTAGTATATGCCTTAGCCCCTTGCTTTAAGGTCGGATGACACTGTTAGCTCAGAAAGTTCCTCAGATGACTGCACTCCAATGTGCCTTATCTGTTATTAATGATTAAGCAGACTTATTCTTTAGTGCATGTTGCAGCTAACCTTGCACTACAGTTTGGGATGACATCATTGCTTTCACTGGATATTACTGTATATACTAGGACTGCTTTGAACAGTTTGACTGACCAGATGGCTTATTGCTTTCTTTGGCTGCATTTTCTTACTAATGCATGCTCAATCTGCTGTGGATAACCATGTTGCTGCCTGCTTAAACTAAGTCTTTATGAATACCAGGATGGCCTAAATACCTACGGTATTTAATGTGGGTGACTGAGGAACCAGGATCTAATATTACAGAATATGTTTAAGCATATGCTATTTATGGTCTCCTTATGCCCTCTGGCAAACTAGGGTTTAAAGAACCAACCAGGGACGTAGATAAGGAGGGGTTAGTGGGATCGGAAACCCCCCAGAGCACCCTGTCCAAGTGCCCAGTTAATCCGCATCATAAAGCCGCAACACTCAGCAATAGCAATCAGATCTGTCACCTAACCTACCATACCACCTCCCCTTCCCCTCATACCACCTCACCTACCCCTCATACCACCTCACCTTCTCTCTTCCAGATATAGCACCTCCATCTCTACTTAATAACTGCACCTCCCTGTCATCCACATAACCCCCCACCAGTTTACAGCAACCCCCACCCACCTCCCCCTCATTCCACTTCTCTCCTACCCACCTAAACATTCACCCCAGTCAAAGCACCTGGCACATGCCTCATTCTGCCCTGCTTTCTCACACTGGATATGTATTAGTCTAATGACCCATTAAACAATGCAC